AATCAAACGCGAAACTCTAATAACGGAAATAAACAAAGAAAATAAAACTAAATAAATAAATTAAATATAAAGTTAATATACAAAACCGATTTTAACATTTTTTAAATAAAACTATCTTCCAATGGAACCTATTGTATCTTATAAATCTCTTAAAATCAAATACCAACTCAGAGTGTCGAGGATTCCAATTCCTAAAAATATTATTTTAAATTCATCTACCACACACTGTTACATTTTTTAAATAAAAGAACTATCTTCCAATGGAACCTACTGTATCTCATAAATCTCTCAAAATCAAATACCAACTCAGAGTGTAGAGGATTCCAATTCCTGCATCATTCACCAAAATCAACCGCAACTGAAGCAGGAACGCGTTAAAAGCTAAACGTTCAAAAGACACTTGGATGAGCCATTTCCCTGCTCGATTGCACAATGTAAACAAATCTCGCAGGAAAACGAAGCCGAGCAAGTGGAGTACGAAAGTTGAGCACAACGTCGTAAATTACCAAGCAGGTTTAACGTTCTTCCATCCGCGATTTGCTTCCGTACCGTGGTACGGATAGTCGGGTTATATGTATATACGCATGTATATACAGATATAAGCTGGTCTGATTCAACAGGTGCTACAGTGACATGCGAAACTGCGCGAAACAGTATGCGTGGCGAAAACAGTATGCGAAACGGATCAGTTTCAACGAAACAACTATGCGTTAGTACTAACGAGGGAGCGATGAAATGTATAAAACGTATTAACGGTTAATTAACGATAATGACATGGAATAATGAAGTAAAACCATTTGGTCGAAGGAAAGGATATTTTAGATTGAAAGTGTGTGGATCGATGGGAACATATATCATCGCTATTCTTAGTGTCTAAATTTATTTTTGCTGCAAATTAGAATTTCTAACATTTTTCTAATGTCTCATATTTTGTGAATTATTTATGGAGACCCTTGAAGGTTTCTACGGAAACGTTTATTCAGAAATCATTTTCAGAAGTTGGAACAAAGAAACAGGTAAACCTATGTTAGGAATTCTGATTTATTTGGACAAAATTCCAAATAATAATTTTTATTTTAATCTTGACATTGGCGAACTTTGAGGGACACTAAAAATCAGAAAAAGTGATTAATGGAAAAACAACGTTTACGTTGGCGACCTCGACACGCAACGATTGTATTCACGCGAAAAAGAAAGTAATACAAAATCTCTAGCGAAATTCAGTGATTAGCTTAATCGCGTCTGACCTTTGCTATACGCGAATCTGGATACCTGAAAAACGCCTGAGTCACCTTTGCATCGAACCATTAAGTATGCGCTTCGCGTGTGCTGAGCGATTTGATCGTTATCTGCCCGTGGTTGCTTTCCGATTCCTATAATTTCTCGATTTCTATAATTCTCAATTTTTCGAATTTCGATACCACTCTGTTCTTTGATGTCTATTCAACGCGCAATATTGAAAGATCAGTATTTTCTTTTGGAAGCATTGGGCATCCTTGTTTGATATTTATTAGGACAAATGATAACGCAAATAAATTGAATTAAAAAGGTTGGTTCGTAATAGAATTAAAAATTGAGAAACATTTGTGTAAGGACACTTCGATTCTATCTTCCAAGTTATTCAGAAAAAAATTTGAAACTTTGTACTTTTATATAGTTGATAGCGCTGAATTGAATGGTGTAATCAAAAAAAAGTTTAAACCATTTTTTTCAATTTTGAAAACGTATGGATTTTTCGATTCGACTTCCTTTACAGACAATTCTTTTTCAAAGCTGTCAAAAAAATTGTGCAAACGTTTTTTTGTTAACACCATTGAATTCAGCATCAAAAACTACATAAAAGCACAAAGTTTCCAAATTTTGTCTCAATAACTACTGGTAGCTGGTTTTGGTCGCACTCCCTTAATGGCGCAAACAGAAATAGTCGAATCGCCATTTATTTTACTCGCGATTCCCCTCGTCGATGGTCGTTCGACAAAACAACTCTGACGTTACCATAAACCGATTAATTGATCCGATATAACCGACCCAATAACGAAACAATTTGCAGTGGCCATAAATCAAGCTCATTACCATATTAATCTGAGGGTGGCATCGAAATGTACTATCGACAACGATCGACCCCGCGACCGTGGAACGTCAGCTGCGATGCGGAATACCGGATGAAATCGGCCTTATTATTCTTCCTCACGGACGCTATGAATTTTTGATAACCTTAATTAATTAATTTTCAGCGGAAATCCTTCGCGCATTAACGGTCATTTTCGAACGTTTTCACGCTGGAGTGTGCAGACAACATGCGCGATGTTTAATTAACAGTGTCGCCTCGTTATTAATATGCATACTTTTCGTAAAGTGGTCCAGCAGTGGTTTCGGTTAATTATTGTTGGCAGTGTGCATTCCGAGCGATTACGATCGAATTAGAACGCAATTCGAAGTCGGCACGTTTAGAAATTGCGTCAGGGTTAAGGGACGAAATATTTATAATTTTTTAAACATGCGGGAGGAGCATATGCTAGCAAAGTTTGTCCTTGTGGTGTACGTGAATGTGCATTATCTGTAGTGCATACAAATATTTTTATTTCAAAATTGTGGTCTTGGACCCTTTCCCTTCGTGTGCTATAGACAGGTATAAAATCTTTTATGCATGTTTACACACACGTTGTTATAGGCGAAAGGGTTAATTTGAAAAATTATGACCAAAGTCCATATTTGATAGATGCTAATAAATATCTGGGTTCTCTATCATTTTGAAATCGTAGAATATCGAAATTGTTATTCACAAAGAACCTAATTTGCGCTGTGTAATGATGCTCGTACGTTCCTTTTGCCACCCAGGGGTGTATGTCGTTATCTGAGGTTGGTGCTGCAAGAAAAATAATCTTGTTACTTTGAAACACGAATCTGAAAGTACAACGTTAATGGAATAACCTGGAAGGTATGTGGGTAGCACGATCTTCAGCAATTTGTAACATAGAAAATCTGCAATATCCCTCGGAAGTAGAAGTAGTCGTACACGTTAACGCTTCTCCTCGCGCTCTTATTGTGAGAATTTCTAAGGAATTTCATTTAAATACCTCTGAAATATTCCCCAGCTGCAAAACTGTTCCTCAACATTCGTCAAATTTTCTTGAAGGAACGTAAGCTTGAGAGCTGTCCTCTTACTGGAATATTTATTGTCATGAAAATCTTATTTTCGAAAACATTAAGAAATAAATAACACAGAATATATTTACAAAATTGTTGTCTGTTTCATCTTAACTCACGATTTAGTTATTGGTAGACACACCTCGAAGACTGGTTATACTTCACGATTACCTAAAACGTGAAACAAAAAGATTAGATAAAAATTAAGTAATTTCAATGTAAATTTTTGTTTTTAGTAAAAAAGAAAATTACTTGTCCTACTTTTCTTGTCCTCCACTTGATACAATTTTAAGTTTTCATATACAAAAATAGTTTCGTCTACTTAACACCTTAATAAAATTGCATAAAATAAAAGATCACAGATGAATAAAGTAATGAAATGACAAAACAAATAGTATACTACAAGGGAAAGGAAATTCATGCATGGGCAATTCTAAACCAAGTGAACACGTTCCCCAATGATTATCATACGGTTGCATACATATAATTCCGCAAAGTGTATCGAGAATTCCCACGTTGCACGCGTGGGTAGAGCCGTAACCATCACGTAAAAGATAGAGTCACGTTTCGAAGTCACCCACAAGTTCAAACGAAGCGTAAAATTGTAATTCGGCTCTGTACAAAATCGTAAGAAGAAAACCATCCGGAATTCCGTCACGCTATTGCGAACCCACAGCCGTCGTGTTCATTTCCTGCCACTTCTCAAAGTTACACAGCCCCCGGAATTGGATACGCCAGTTTCGTCTCCTGGTCCTGAACGAAATTGGAAGCCCGAAACTGGTCTTACGGCGCTTCTTTAGAACTACAAGTTACGATCGACTTGGATCGTGTCCATCGATGCGTAAGATTGACCAACAGTGGCAAAATTGCACTCGCCGAACATGAATTTTATATTATGGAGTTCAAGTCTGGCAGTAGAGTCATAATTATAGAAGAGTAATTATGTAAAGAATTGGAATATTATACAAACATTGTATAAGTGTAATTATGTGCATTATATATTTATGAAAATATGATTATATAAGATTGACTAACACTAGCACAATTGCACTCAATGAAAATGAGTCTTGTATTATGAAGTTCAAGTCTGGCAGTAGAGTCATAATTATATACGTCTAATTATATAAACAATTAAAATATTGAACGAACATTATATCGGTGTAATTATGTACATGTATATTATATATGTATATTTATAATTATACACGATATAATATACATTATATATTTATATATTCATAAAAATATGATTATATAAGATTGATCAACACTAGCACAATTGCACTCAATGAATATAAATTGTACATCATGAAATTTAAATCTGACAGTAGAATCATAATTATATATACACAAATGCGACATTGTACAAGCATTATATAAGTATAATTATGTACATGTATATTATATCTGTATATTTATTACTATACACGATATAATATACATCATATGTATAATCTGTACTTATAATTATAATTACACAATGTGACAATAATGATAATGGTATAGACTTAATGTATCAAACTCGTACGTATCACAATTTTTTACTCGATGAACCGAAATGGTATTTTATATTTTATTCGTGTTTACGTCATATGACAATCCAAGATAATTATATAATACTAACACTTTAAACAAATTAGACATAATTATGAAGTTGAAAAACATGCCTTAACAAAACAGAATTTTCTTAATTGGCAGAACCTGAAACACTAAACATGTATGAACATATACATATATATTTTGATAAACAAGTTATAATTTCGATTATTATTCGTGATAATAACAACGTATACTTATGCATCACGCGCCTACTGGTTGGACTAGAAATGAACGTATTTCTGTTTGGATTTCAGGTTCAATAAGCAATATAGACGGCGCGGAGTATCACTGCAATAAAACTGCAGTGCGAAAAGTTATCAGCGGAGTCGTGGGGGCCGCAAGCTCGGTCACATCCATTCAAGTGGCCAACCTTCTCAGACTGTTCCGGATACCGCAGGTACGTGCACCGAATCCCCAAACACGCCCATGGCCGTGCACTTAAATTCGCCCGAGTTGCACATTTATATTCATTCGGTCGGTTTCCATAAAATGCCATGACAATCCTAGCTGGAATCGCCGACCAACGATCGTACAAATGCTATACCGTTCCAGGAATCGTCCTGTCTGCCACACTTTTCACTCGACAAACGGAAACGTTGAAAGAATCTGATATGTCCTCCGTTCCGGACACTTCCTTACAAATATATTCAACGAGTATTCTTTTGTAAGATTTTAAGGCAAGAACAGAAAAATATACATGTTATTATTACGTACAACGTGGAACAGAAGTATTTATAATTTTTCAATGGATTGGTGAACTTTTAAGAATTTTTAGATTTCAGATTGTAGTTCTAAAGTGTTTTCCAAAGAACGCTTCAGTTCTTTTTTGTAAAACAAAAATTTGAGCATCTCTGGTTTGACAGACCGTGTAAAAAGTGAATATTCATAACTTTGTATGCGTTAATGAAGAACGGAAACTTAAATTAAAATGTGTTTTGACTTTCAAGTGTTGTAATTTAATTTTTAGTATTTTCACGCCGCCGCAACAGTATTTTTTTTCATTTTGTCATAAATCCATAAATATGGACTCTAGTTATTATATTATATTAGAGAATGAAACCTATTTTCGTTTAAGTTTTAATTCTCTTTCTGTATCAGTGCAAATATGAATCCGCATAATTTAATTTTTAATATTTTTCACTTTGTCATAAATCTATAAATATATGCATTCTAATTATTATACTATATTAGAGAATGAGACATATATTCATTTAACTTTTAATTCTCTTTCTGTACCCATGAAAATATGAATCTACATAATGCATTTCGTACATTATAACACGCATATCGATATAATTTACGCACAACACGGACTATAAAAAGAATTACACATAGTTTTGGTATCCGACACACGGTATGTCCCCAGAATAAATCCGACCAGGCCGTTCCCTCACAATGAATCAGCGTATCGACAAACTGCCAGGGAAGCTGGCCCACTAACGATCCAATATAAAAATGATTCCCCACCTGGGGGAGCATCCATAACGCACGACTCGCGAAAGTTCAATAAAGAAACTAATAACGCGGCTCGTTTTCTTACACGGCCACGCTTCCCACCGGACCGCGATTTAATCAAAAGTTTTGCATAAACTGTTCGTACACCGCGGGCAAGACCGGAGTCAAGGTAACATCCGAGCCTTTTGAACAAGGCGGAACTTATGAAAGAATGTAAATATTAAGCGGCAGCGAACCGTGAACATTTTTCGTTGCAGAAACTTTCACGTCGAAAAGCAAACCGCGGCCTGAAATCGCTCGACTGCGAAATCCAGTCGAACCTCCCTCTTCCTCCTCCTCCTCCTCCTCCTCCTCCCCGTCCCCTCGGAGCGCGACTCCACCATTTCAATATATCGAACCGGGACCTGATAGAATTTTTAATTCCACGAGGTAACCCAAACCCGGCCCGCAAACCCGATGCCCCATGAAACCATTACACGAGCACCGGTTGCAGGTGTGCTTCTCGCCGCGATGCAATCGATACCATTATTGTCAAACGCGCTCGAGAGAGTCCCGTAAGACTCGGGAAATTCCCCCGTTAGAGGGTCGACGTGACTCGAGAGAACGAGAAAGAACGTACGGCGTGTACGTGATCTCGGCGATGTACAAGTTTAATGCGAATTTACGGACCGGGTACGCTAATTGGTGAATTTATAGCGACTACGTTCGATGGCGCATATGGGAGTGTGGTAATTAAAAAATGCCAAATGTATGAATTAATTCTATGGTTTTGGATTCAATTACAGTATTGCCTCGAAATAAGCGACTCGGTCGGGACCAGCGAGTTGCTTATTTCGAGACATAACTGTATTTGCAACTATGAATTGAGGACAAATATTTCCTCGATGTTGAGTGCGAATTTACGAACAGGGGATGATAATCGATGAATTTATGTCGACTACGTTCGATGGCGCATATGGGAGTGTAGTGATTAAGGAATATCAAGTGTATGAATTAATTCTATGATTTTAGATTCAATTACAGTATTGCCTCGATTAAACAACTCGCCGGTCTCGACCGAGTTGCTTAATTCGAGACAAAACTGTATTTACAACTATGAATTGAGTAAAAATATTTCCTTTTGGTGAATTTATACAAACTACGTTTTATGGCGTGTGTAGGGGCGTGGGAATTAAGAAATATTCGGTGTAGAAATTAATTATGTACCTTCACATTCCATGATTCATGGCTGAAGTTTAACACGTTGGTCGCTACGTCACCCAGAAATAAGTGACAGAACTTTTCATTAAGGGATTAAGAAAATTAATTTCGAAGGTAAGACGATAACGAAAATAGATTTGGCGACGTTATAAAATTAAACACTACTACAAATATTAACCTATCGAATTTTCTTCAGTTTAGAGACAAGATTTTATTATAATTTCATAAAAATTTTCACGAGTTTTAATGTACCAGTCAACGTAGTCATTTTGGTGTGTTAAAGTATGAACCTTAGTTTGACATGTCTTTTGTTGTACAAAATAAGAATTCTGAAAAAGGAAACTTGTTTTAAAGTACTCTACAAGGTTCTCATTTTGAATGAAAAATAGAAAATATTTTTCATTTTCACCAAGGAAAGGGACGAACTTTTCCACTTCAATTAGTGATTAAATATCCGTGAGTATTTTATACGTCTCCACCCTGGCGCAATGCCTTAAGCAGTTGCGGTTTGTTTGATGTGTGCAAACCCAGGAACTATTGCAAACATCAAACAAACCGCAAATATATACGGAAAGGTTTGCTACCCCTGTTCCAGAAACCAAGCAACCCTCGATGGCACAAAGAATCAAAAGAAATGGAATGGAATGGGTTTCTAATCACGTGACTCGGAAATAAAGTGACTCATAATATCGACATTAAGACATTAAGAATATCGAGTTACTTTTAATTTCTTATGGATACAAAAAAACGTCCTCCTAATTTGTGACACGTGGTATCGATTCTAAAAGAAGTCTCAGATAATTACAATTTATAATTATAATATACTATATTAGTCATGATACAACACACAATTATAATCATAATATAACAAACACAATTATAATATATATGTATTCGTAAAAATTTTCAAAATTTACATACAGCAGTCTAAATACATGTCAATACAAATGGTACTAATTCTAGAAGCCCGAGTGGATTAAAATTTCCAGATTACAAAATTTGATTGACAGTAATATTTCATTGGGTAACTCAATAGAAAGAGTTAACTGGGAATCAGTAACGTTTCGATCTCCAAAGAGATAAACTGATCAAACGAATAAATAATAAATAGCATTAAACGAGCAACTCGATATTGGAGCGGTAATTCATTATCCAATTTAGTCTACAGAGGCTTTTGCAGATTGCGACTACGGGTACTGTGCATCGTGAAAGATGACACGTTTAAAAAATGTTCGATCTGTTCCTTTATCAGTATAGCCGTTACGGTTTTGTATGTTTTTTACCCGTTGTTATTACGGTCATAATGTCACGTCACTCTTTGAACGTGGCAGCTATTGTTCGCGAAAAATAGGTCGGAGATAGCCAGTTTTTATTGGATATCATGAATAACGTAATTTGCTGATATTGGTCGGGGATGTACGTTCAATCATGATACTTCGTTACACGAATTTCCGATTAAGTCAGTAAATTACCATCTTATGCATCGATCGTTGAAAGTTGTTAGAGAAAGTTTAGAAACAACTAACTTAAAGAATGGAGAGATACAATGTCTTCATGAAACATTCCGATACAAAAGAGATACTTTACAAACATTATTTTTCTTCGCGTTACAAACCTATTCAATTTTTGTTAAGCTTCCTAATGCTATAACATTCTATATTCTGAGTATTAAAAAAAACACCTGCTTCTACAACGTTGCAAAAGAAACCAGAGCCGTTCGAACGTTGAAAATTCGAAGGAGTCGCGACGAAAGCAAACAGGAAAATACTCCTGAGCCAAGCAAAACTTCAACAACCGCATCCAAATGAGACATTTCACGTGTCCCGTGGTTCCTTGTAATTCCAAGTCAAACAGTCAGCTTCAGCGAGTGGGAACCACCAGCGGAAATAACTTCGAAAGCGCGCCGACAAGGGAACCGGCGGCTGAAAGAACAAAGAAATGCGCGGAACCATCCAAGATGAGTTCTTACGGCACCGTGAATTTCCCTTTCGCGTTGGGGGGTTTGTATTCTTTGATTCCGCGGATACTAACAGCGAGCAAATATTCGCCCCAGTTCGCGTATACCTAGCGGAGGAAAAGTGGCAATGGCGTCGACATCAGGCCTGCCAGGTTAGTCCATCCACGTTGAACCAAAAAAAAAATTTTAAAGGCACCATTAGCCTTTAGTTTCGATCAGGTTATATTATTTCGATAACACTCTTCGTCTGTAGTAAGTTTTCTTCGGGAACTCGAGTTACAAGAAGCGCGTAGTCTATGGTCCTGTGGCTGTCTAGTGCGTGGCCTATACTACTGCGACCGTCTAGCGCACCGCGGCTGACTAGCGCGTGGCCTATACTACTGCGGCCATGTAGCGCACCGCGGCTACGTTATATTACTTCGATAACACTCTTCGTCTCTACTAAGTTTTGGTCGGGAACTCGAGTTACAACAAGCGCGTAGCCCATGGTATTGTGGC